ATATATATATATATATTTGTCTGTGTGTATATGTATATATATATTTTTTTCCCCCATGGGGTCTGACTGCACTGATTTCTATTCCAAAAGCAACTGCTACACCAACGTTTCCTTTCTGCTTGCTAGTGCAGTTCCATTGCCCGGAGTCAGGAGACGGGGAGGCTGTACGGACCCTTGCACCGGTCGCCCTGCAAGGTTTTCCTTCACGGCGGTGGGGTGGGTGGGGGGGTGCGTGGGTGCGTCATGGGGGTGCGGGGATGTGTGTTTTTTCCGGCTCTGCGGATGCGCCTGGCTCAGGCTGGCTCCTGTTTCTGTGCAGTGTTAGACAAATCGACCGGGTCACACCATCGACATTTGCTTCCACGAGGTAGGCGCATACTGCCCCTTTGAGATCACAGGCAGCCATTGTTCGCAGTTCGGTTGCAAATCCTTGTCTTTAACTCTAGTACTGTTTCCAGTTCATGATTATGGACAACTGGTGCCACTTTTTTCAAATTTCAGTGTGACACAGGAATCCGCTGTTGAAGATGAACCTAGAATGTCTTTAAGCACTTAAAATGCTGTTCACACTTTATTGCTGAGCATCCTGGTCTAACACTCAGTACGTACTGTATCTCACTTTAATCTGCTCAGAAAGCAACAACAAACGAACGAACGAACGAATCTCTTCAACACTGTAACTACATGCACCTGTGTAAAGTTTTCTCACAGGCAAGATGCTGAAAGTTTCAATGTGGTTTCAAAGGGATGAATGTGAATTATTGAACTAGTATGTGACAGTCATTGTCCACAGAGGACTACTTAATAGGAGGCACTTTTTAAACTTTAATGCTTGAGAAAGAGTTAAAGGCATACGTGAGCTGACAGATAATAAAAAAAAAAAAAAAAAAGAGAAAGGAAAGAGGAAGAAAAAATCATTGTCCAGTGTTTTTGAAAAAGATGGACTTTAAAGAATCTTGCAATTTGCACATCTTGAGTTTATCATTTGTGTGGTATTCCTGCAGTTTTTACCTAATAATGTTGGGGGCTGGGGGGGGGAGGGTCTGAAAGAGCATAAACAAATGTAGCAATTACTCACTAACTTGCCTACGCTCTAGGCCATTTCATAGGGTTACGTTCCTTCCAGAGTTCATTTTTTGTCTTTCTGCCGTATCTGCCACCCAGAACCGGGTCCTACCAGGACAGCTCTGAGAATTTTCCTTCAGACTTGCTGAGCGTTTTCCACCGGAAACATTTCTGTACGTAAGCAAGGTGTTCTGTTTGTTTTGAAAACAAACCGATTGTTATTTTATTATTATTATTATTATTTGTTATTTTAATTGCATTGTTTTCCATTGGAAAGGCGAGATTTCAAGAGTTTGGTACAAACCAAGTAGGATGGAGGCGGGATTCACACCATTCAGTCTTTTCTTTCCTCGGGTAGGGCCGGATCCTTTGAGGTGCTGTGCACCCAGCCTCCCGCACGAGCCTCGGGGAGGTGCGAGTATGAAGTACTTCGGGGCCGAGCACTAACGCCTGTTGCTGCCACTAGAAAGATCCCGTTGATCCCAGTGGGATTGCGCTTGGGCCCCGCGTGAGCCAGCGTTCGCGTCGTCGGTTTTGGTTGGTGAGTTCGCATCCTTCAGGTAGTTTTGAAGAAGCTGTACTGATAGGGAGGAGAGGAAATAAAAGTCCGTCGTTAGCAACGCCGCAACCGAAAGTGAACAAATTTATTTGAAGTCCTGTTCTCCCTCTCCCCTAAAACACAGTGCTTTTATTTAAGAGAAGGCATGTTAACCCCAAACCCCAGCTTTGACTATGTTATTTGTTACTTGAAATTTAGCTCACACCAGAACTAATTGTTTTTTATACCATATTCTGGGGTGCACCAAAAAGTTGAAATGTGTTTAAAATAGCTTGAAACTTTTCTTGAATTTCCTTGAATTTTATTAACCTCTCGGCGGGCTACCGAATAGCTGAGTGGGTTTCTTCTCACAGTCACACTGCTTAGTTAGTGCTTGTTTGTTAATATTTCTGCTCAGAGAAGTTGCTTAATCTTCCATATACTCTGCTCAGGGCACTTGCAATTTATTGTTTTTCGTTTTGTTTCCTGTTTTGTTTTTAAGCTTCGATGGTAAAGGAATAACAGAAAGAATTACAGATTTTAGTTCACGGTCATACCACTATTTCCGTGCTTCACGCGTACTCGGGAGAAAAAAAAACAAACAAACAAATCTCAAGCAAAACCATGCGCGTACACATTTGTGGTTAATAAGGAAGCAGGGGCTGTTAAACTGACTGGATCTATTCAACTAACACTAAAAAAGAAAAATAATAATAATAAAAAAAAAGACGTTTGGAGCAATAGGAATGTATTAGTTCTGTGCTTGTATTTCAGACCGAGGAATTCTGAAATAACTGGTTCTTTCCAAACAACTGTCCCTTTCCATGCTTTGGCTTGTGTAGGATGTGCAATACTTTATGTGCCAACTTAGACTCACCCGTGCGGTGTTAGCTAGATCTCATACCCACTTCTGATTTCCCCTGGTTTTGTTCTGTTTCGAATAGTTTCTTTCTTTCTACCTTTATTTTTTCCTCCCTGTTAGTACCTCCCTTCCTGTCCTCCCCCTCCAAAAAATAACCCAACCTCACGTACTAAGGGTCAAGCGACCCTTCCCCCGGGAAACACCAACCTTTTTTTGTCTTTGATGTTAAAAAAGATCCAGGAAGGACAAAAAAAAAAAAAAAAAAGAAGAAAAAAAAGATGTATTAATGTCCGCGTGCCGTCCAGGTGGAGGGCACACAGGCGAGACCCGACTCCAACCAAGGAGAGAAAAATCCCCCCCGCCTCCGGGACCAAGTCCTTTGCAATGGGGGGGCTTTTCCTCTCCACCCCCAGCACCCAGCATCCCTTGCCGCGAGTCCCCGTGCCTGGGGAAGCACCGTCGGTCCCCCGGCACGTGGCGCGTTACCACTCGCCGGCAGCGGAGATGCTGAGGCGAAGCCGACGGAGGAGGTTTCGCCACCGCTCCTTGAGCGGCATCCGCTTTGCAATAGTAACTGACAGTAGTTGTCTTTTTTTTTCCTTTCTTCTGTAGCAGGCCTGTTTAGTTTACAACGAAACGCATACAATCACCGAGAAATTAGTCAGGGCGAAGAAAAATAAAACAAGAACCTCTTTATAGGGATTTCTAAAAAAAATAAAAATAAAATCTATCTATCTGTCTATCTATCTAATCTATCTATATATCTATATATATAAAATGACTGTTCCTTATAGTGTTCAACTTAGGCATTGTTTCAGTTTGTCTGGGCCACATCACGGGAAATTTGAGTTTGATGTCACTTACCTCGAGTCCTCTGGTCGAGACCCAAATCGGAGTCGCTGGTGACCTGTTTTACCATTTCATACCCCTGTGCTCGCTTTCCCGCGAAGATGCAGACCTTGGGAGGAGGAGGTGGACACACACACACGTTCCTGTTTTGTAGTTTAATTCCCGCGTCCCACTGTCGCTTCGTTCGATCTGTCGTTCCGTCATTTTCTCGGCGTGGGGAAGTGACATCACTACTCTCGTTTCCCTTAAATCAAGGAACATTTAGAAACCTTTCACACCTTTTACTCAGGGATGGGGCTGGCATATGTGTGGTACACTGATGTGACCAGAAGCAGCACTTTTACTGCTCCGGAGTAGGGATGTACAATGTCACGGACAAGTTTGGATTTCCTGCCTCTCACGGTTTAAGATCTCGCTTAGATCGCAGTGAAGAAGCAGCAGGCTCAGCGCGAGCTGTGGCTGTCGGTTGTCATGAAATTCACTCTCTGCAGAGATTTATTTTACTTCAGAGTGTGTTGCCAATAGTAAAAAGGAAATGGAGAAATTCTGTTAATACTTCAACTGCTAAAACAAGAATTAAAAAAGCCTGGATCAAGGAGAGCGAATCCTCAATATCTTGAAACACTAACAGTGTTATTTCAAAGAGGGGGGCTCTTGGCATGGCGCTCTGCGCGTCCCGGTTCTGCAAACACTTATACACGTGCTAATGGGAGGCCCGGGCCAGCCGGCAAAGGCAGCCTGGCTGCTCCGGAGCTCGCCGGGAAGCACCTGTATAAATCTTTGTGAAATTGAGGCTTGTTGGTTGGGGCCGGGTCCTGACCTCCATCAGGCGGCTGGAAAAACCTCGGGGTTCGCCCAGGTTCCCCAGGGCGGAAGCCCCGGTTGGGCAGTGGGGGGATTTGTCCTGTTGAAACACTTCTGCTGTCCCAGGAACTTGACAAATGGCAAAAGGGGAGGTGCCCTCATACAAATAATTGCCGTTTCCCTCCCCATCGTCACAGGTAACAGCAGAGTCCGCTCTGGCCAGTGCTGATGGCAAAGCAAGGGGACGGACCGATGCCCAGAGTGCAGGCAGTG